GTTTAATCTTATATATAAATTTGGCACCTGTCTAATAAGTGTATGTATATGTATTCATATGAAACTTAATGATAAAAGGGTTTGTATTTGCTGCATTGAAGTGCTCTACATATGTATATATGCATGCATGTATGTACAATACTAATTGTTAGAGGACCCTCAAGTGGCAACTAGGAAATGATGAAGGGCTGTGTAGGAAGAGCACACTTTTTGGAGCAGATGCTCAGCGCTAAGGCGGCACTCAGAGCGCATTAAGCCAAATGCGAGCTGAGACCTTGCCGAGCCATTTGGAGACCTGCGGAGCGGAGCATCTAACCAATGCAGGCGGGGCACATTAGGCAGACGCACGCAGACATGTGGTGAGCCTTTAAAGGGGCTCAACAAAGTTTTCATTAGTGGCGTCAGCTTTTGGCGTTGGCGTTGGCGTTGACGTTGGCGTTGGCAGAGCGCGCAATGCAAATGTGACGCGTGGCAAATGAAAAGAGAATACGACACACACACACACACACACACACATAGAGAGAGATAGTGAGGTAGAACAACGGGGGACTGTGAGTCAAAAACCAGGCAAACATTTGCAAAAACCCCAAACTCGGCGGCTGGCACTTGAAATGTGCTTAATGCCACTTTACGAGTGACTTTCGCTGAGTGCGAGTGCCACTTTGCGTGCAGTTCTCGCTCTGTCTCTCTGTCTCTCTCTGTTCGCTGCCTTCACTCTGGTGGCTAGACGCGTTAAAAATATGCTTTTTCATAAGTTCGCACTCCTCGCACTTACTCCCCTGTCCCGCGCGCTCTGCACACAAGGGTAAACGAAATGACAGCTGACATATGTAAGTGTCTGTCCGACTGTATGTTTGTGTGTCTCTGTCTATCTTGCCTTTTAGCTTTTGTATGTGTATGTATGTAGGTAGGTATGGGGAGGTAGCACGTTTTCGGCACTCTAAATTAACGGATAAACTACACAAACACACACACATACACACACACTCAGCACTTTTGTGTGTAGTTAAATCACTTGGCAACAATAAAGTGGCATTTGCTTTATGAAATAATTTCAACWCACACACACACACATAGACACACACACACCTGTCATTTGTTTTGTTTAGCTTTTCGTCTATTTAGCTGTTTGTGCTTTTACTTTTCTGTGGTTCTGTCATGCTCAGGCATGAAATTTGTTATGAAAATTAAATATTTAACTTATTAGTAGCTGCAGCTGTAAGTGTGCCTGTGTGTGTGTGTGTGTGTCTTTAGATGGAGCAACTTCACCGAAACAGACCGGCTTTGGGCTAATAAGAGATTTCAGTGTTGCCTAACGTGTTTCGTTAAATTCTAAATGATACAGGAAAGTTTTGTAAATGGACACAGAAACAGCTAATGAAAAACCAATAAGTGTTAATAATGAATTTTTTTTTTTT